AGTGCACGACCGTGTTTTTTTGGCAAACAAAGACTATTCAATTCAATCCTTCATTCAGTTGGGAATAAAAACGCTCACAACACCGTAATCAAAAACAATTAAAAACCCTAATTTTCATCTGTAACACTAAAAAATAATTAGGAACCCGAATAAAACACTTAGATAACGAATGAAACCGACTTTAATCAACCATGACTAAAAAACCACGTCCGGATGTTTCCGCTTGATATGACTTGTTAGGTTGGATTTCCATCGAGCCACGTATGAACAATAAGGGCATGGGCATGTTCTTTTTCTACCGCAAGACCACTTTTGATGTTCCTTCAGGCCTTTGATGTATTTGTACTTGTTGCCGCATTTGCAAACATATGGAAAATCTACAAATAAATCGCTCAGTATCTTTACGCGGCTAGAAAACTTCAGTTTTCAACTGCTCTTGGACTCACCTCTGGTTCTTCACCATTATCGAATCTATCATCATCAACATCATGGCTAAAAAGCTACTAAAACGATAAAACTTGGCGAATAAATCGAATTCTTCTGGGAATTTATAACGCATTTTTCGAATGTCGCCTCTTTAAGTGAGCGTTGATATTCTGACGAAAACATGAGCGATAGTTGCAAACAGGGCAGGCAAATTGGGGCGTTTTTCCACATTCGTAGCGAGCATGCTGACTTAAGCCACTTTTAAACTTGTATGTTTTCTTGCAAGTGGAACACTGGTGCCTTTCGGCATCTGGAACTGAACGAATTCTGCCATCACTTTCTCGATAGCAAACATACTTTCAAGGAAAAAACAATTCATTGACGTGACTCCGGAAAATCCTCTGCATGGAGTTAAATTTTTTTATATTACTAGATACACTGACTAGATGCAAGTTGCTGTTGGAAATATCTGAACATCACAAAAGACTGAAAATACCTACAGTTTGTTTCCGGTCACAAAACACAATAAATTAAATATCACAAAAATTTAAAAAAAAATCACAGAATCAACTAGCGCAGTTGACTGGAATGGCCTGGATTTGGCACCACTGGTTGTCCCTGCTTTGTATTGAACTAGCCACTATCCATGATGTGGTGCTTGAGTCTCAAATGGTTAGCCAAAATGTACTTCCGAGTGGTTTTATAAGAGCATCTGGGAAAGGCGCAGGAAAAAGGCTTCGATATTCTGCAGCATTCGTACTTTTGATGCCGCCAGAGAGACCTTTTCACTGAGTAGCCTTTGAAGCACATCTGGCACCGGAATTCCCTTGCTAAAAAAATGTGCAGTGAATAAAACGGGAAACTAGTCCAGGGCCAAACTTACACTTTTCTAAAATACTCCGGAGTAACTGGCTTAATTTCGCGTCAATAGTATCGCAAGCACCATTGAATATGTGGGTGGAACAAGGGAGGAGCATGAATGCTTCGTACTAGAAAGAGAAGGAGGATAATGTCCACCTCTCGTTCTGATGCAAGCATTCGAGTGCCTTCCCTGTTCCACGCATGTAAGTCACGTTAAACATTGAGTTAGTTACCGTCAGTTTGGGTTGGCTTGAGTTAATTTAACCCTTTATAGGGCAGTACTTTTTTCCTGATATTTGCAAATTTACTTTATAAACATGAAAACTAGATGAAATGAAGTACTTTTTCTTATCTGATATTTGTTTTACTTTTATACTATGGGGAGTGGGGATGGTTGATTTTTCAACCAGTGACTGTTAAGTGTCAGTAATATCAGCATATGATCACTGGTTAAATTATCAACCATATATTGTAAACACTTTTTTGTTCAATATTTTTTTTTGGTAGTCATTATAGTTCATGAAAAGGTGCAAAACAATTCAAGCACAAGGCCACATTGCACTTTCGGCATACAATATGTGTCCTCTTACAACGTTTTGAACTGCTGCAATGAGCGCATCTTCTACTTGTGCCTTTGGTAGGCAAATGTTTTCCTACATCTGCCTTTCTCGCCGCATRATTAACATTAACTCTTCGTATATTCACTTTTTTTATTTTTTCTTGAAGTGATAGGGGCCGGTCGTTTTCTTTTTCTGCTACAAAAATTAGCTATGAGTTCAATTGCCAAATTACTCCTAAACTGTAGGTTTTTTTACATTTTCAAAGTTAAATTGAAATTTGTAATAAATCTATTGAAAACTTGGGAGTTGCCACATATTTAATAAGTAATTATATCTTTAAACATGCAATAAACTTTGTTATGTATAAAACTTATCTCAAAAGAATGATACAACCCACAAAAACAATGTATTTGAGGACCACAACTGATACGTGCATACTCACTASAATAAAAGAAACACTGGTTAAATTTTCGACCACTTTAGAGAATGAAATTTCGCTCTACGGATAATAACTCTTTATACCGTTTACAAGTATTTAAGGCAGATATTTGGTTGATTTGCTGAACAGATTTCGCTTACGATCAACAGTCGACAAAAAGTAGTCAGTTTTCATCATAGTCATCAAGCTATAAAAGGTTAAGTTAGTTTGGGTAACTTTGGTATTATTTAAATTTGCTTGGCTTGATCCAGGCAATACCCAAGCTGTTGTAGGGGGCGTCAATATCCTCACAAGCGGAAGATCATCAATGCTTGTGCTGAAAAGAGAGAGAAGAGGGTATTGCTCATACTCTCTCTCTTTCTGATGCATGCACCTTCCTTGCTCTACGCATGTAATTCACTTTACACGAACGAAACATCCTAAACTAAAATCGATGAGGGGGTAATTGAAAAAAGTCAAACTAACAATGCTATAAAAATTAAGAAATATGTATTCTAACAATCGTTATTGATAATAATGATAACAAAAACATGTGTAGAAAATTGCTTTTTTGATTCACAATGTTTTGAGCGTTTCTGAAATCTGTTCAAATTTTTTATTAATTAAATTCTAGAGATTCTTTGATTGCCCACTGTCCGAATTAAAATATAGCTTCTGGCAAATCACCTCATCGTCATCCGGCCAGTTCATCTCCTGATTAGCTCGCGTTCTTGCGGCCTCAAAAAACGGGTCCAGATCGAGCGAAGAATCGTCAGCGCTATTTTGGAACTTTCGTCGCGTTTTTCCAAGAGCGTTTAAAAAGTGCAGTCCAGCTCCTTCGCGGAACTTTTTCACAATGGTATGCACTGAGCTTTTGGAAATCTGCAAAATCGAAGCGGCCTTTCGGATGGAAATGCCGCTGTTGATCAACTCGAGGGTTTTACGTGCCAGCTCTTCATCTGCCGTTATAAAGCATCGATTGCCTAAAAATGTATTGATTGTAGGTAGTCGATGAAAATCCGAAAACGTCGTTTGTATGTATGTACATTAAGGTTAAGAGTATTAATAAAAAATTATATAAAAAATTATAATTATCTTGGTCTAGTTGGTAAACTTGGTATATTGAATACATCATATTAAAGTAGTTATATGAAAGTTGCAGGAAACTAAGGGCAAGTTTCATGCGAAAAACTGGTACTGGCATAAATTCATCTTAAATCGCGCTTTGCCAATGCATATTTCAGCTAAAACAAACAAAAATCGTTAGTAAATAGAGCGAGGGAGCCGAAGGCGCCAACTAGTTTCCCTACTAAGACAAACTCAGAAAACTACATTCTACTAGTGAAAGAAAAACAGCAAAACGTCAAATAAGAAGTTTATTTAACCCGATGTTTTCTTGCATGTAACTTCAGATTGTCTTTGCGCTTGCTTCGGAAGAAACACCCTACAAATGGGCAAGCGAACATTTTCGTTCTGCCACATTCATATTTCTGATGTCGTGCCAACGTTTGTGATGTTTTGTAATTTTTCAGGCAGGATTGGCACTTGTATTTTACTGAAAAATTAGATAGAATTAGCAAACGTTAACTAAAAGGATTGGTGGTTAGTACGTCGATGGTCCAGATAATTTCCCAGAAACCGATTTATATTTCTCATTTCTCAACAGTACAAACGCCATAGTAAAACCTGACCAAAAAAACAATGAATTTTTAGGCTTTTCACATCAAACCTGGGGTGGATATGATGTATTTAGTCTATTTAGTGAAAACATTGGTAACAAACTTAAACAGAAGTGAACCCAAATTGAGCATAAACTAGACCTAAGGACTTAAACCCGTTTTCAGAGGCTCCTTTTGCGCTCCGCTAGATGCACCCTCCTTCTATGGGCATTTAACGTGTAGTTGTAATGGAACTTCTTGCCGCATTGATTGCACGTAAAACCGGGCACCCTTCCGCATTCGTACTTCAGATGGGCGGTCAAATGCCGGCTATATTTGTAGCTTTTCTGGCATAAATAACACGTGTGGCGTTGCAGTCGGGATAGCGCTGCTGGAAAACGTTGCATTAATAAAAAAAGCGACGCCTCTTTGGAGTGTTCTTAAAGCCACCCAAGGTTATGTGCAAGAGTAAGTCCGTGGTGCGTAAAATAATGTTTATTCAAGTCAAAGAACTAATATAAGTAAATACTTTCAATCAGTCTAAATTATGATGGTTAGCAGAAACTAAACAACTAAAGAACTAAACTACCGACGGAAGTGGATGATTTCGGAGATCGATGGAAAGGATCGATTGGCCAAAAGTTCAATGGAGTTCAGGTTATAATCCTGTAAGTTATAAAAAGATTTTGAAATGTACCCCCCGTTGGCACCTACTTATGCAAAAAAGGATTATTTTAGAGACAATTTTCCGGCGTTATACTTTGAATAACACTGATGTGCCACTTTGTTCTACTAATACACTTCTGAAATCATTAACTTTTCCCACAGCCCCCCTTATATCTAGCATATTATTCTATACAGTCTCGTTACAGTTGCATTAAGGCACAGTTGTACAACATTTGCTTGTCTAGACGGGAACCATGTTATAGTTATGAGCGCGTCGCAGGTGCAGTTTCCATTTCTCCGTCGAGTCGAACACTTGCGAACACTTGAAACAACGCAGATTTATTTCATCAAAACATTTCTTCTCATGGTGTTCCATCATGTACTTGCGCTTGAACACTTTCTTGCACCTGGAGCAGGTGAAATGAGCAAAATTCTTGATGGCCATATGCAACTCCAGATAGTGTCTTTGGACGTGGTCTTTTCTTTTGAACTGTTTCCCACATTGAGGACAAGTGTTGTTCACAAAATGGACATTTTTAAAAATTTGCGATAAGTGTATACGGGCTGAAACAAAACAAAATTAGTTTCTGTTCCAGAACAGCCGAATGCGATCCAATGCATACTTACTACAATACTTCATAGCTACATCTACGGGTACGGGTGGTGGGTGAGAATGAATCAATCGCACAACAATATAACAATTTATTTTATGTGCTTCTAAAGCGAAATATTCTTCAACTGCACGATCAAATAATGTGGATACCGTCAAATAGGGAAAACTTTGCTTCATTTATCAGAAAACTCCCAACTGATCCCTCTTGTTTGGTGCGTACTTTCAAACGTTTTCAATGTAACTGCGGGAGCTTTTCAAACATTTATTGTTCGGATATCCTCGTATTGTAAAAGCGCTTCTATGAATTTTCAAAATAACTTCCCTTGTGAGAAGCTTGAAGCTCATTTGCGCCATGAAACGTTCTTAGACGATGTTTGTTTATATTGTTAGTTTATGAATTCTGGGGGATGTCGTCCTAATTGGGAAATTTGTGTTTAAGTTAGATGCTCTTTTTTATTTTCCAACGTTTCGGCAGTGCTCTGCTCTCTTCCTCAGGGTTACAGATACTGTAAAGACTCTAACAGACCTATTGTTCTTGAAGACGTTGCGAGAATTATTTACAAACTCCTAATACATCTACCAAGGTTAAAAATCATTAAAGAGCGGAGATTTCACTTACATGAATTAAGTCAGATACAATTCCACGTCAGCACAAAAACAATCCAAAACACATGTATCGGTACACAAATAATTTTTTTTTGGTCACACGCTAACATTTTGTCGCATTTGAAATATAAAAATACAATTTTCTGGTCTCTCCATGCTGAGAGGTCATGTCGACTGAACAATTTGCAAAGGTGAATGTTTGATTCTGCCTGGAGACAACCAGAAAAACTCCACTTATCTTACTTTATTTTTTTTTATAAATATATAAATGAAATCTAATTAAGTCAGAATGAAATGGTAAATAATGCTTAAATGCTTAGTGTATGTTTTAAAATTAATGCTGTTTACATTATTGATTATTTTAATTGTTTTGTAAAGTTCCCGCTTACTTGTATCGTATTCCGATTTTAAGATTTTAGTTTCTGTGTTTTAGTCCTGTTTCGACAGTATTTTTTAATATTTAATAATAATTTAGATAATTTTATTTTAATATTTCAAATTCGACAAAATTTTAGCGTGACCAAAAAAAAATTAGTTTGTGTACCATGACATGTTTTTTGGATTGTTTTTGTGCTGACGTGGAATTTTGTCTGCCTTAATTCATGTAAGTGAAATCTCCGCTCTTTAATGATTTTTAACCTTGGTAGATGTATTAGAAGTTTGTAAATAATTCTCGCAACGTCTTCAAGAACAATAGGTCTGTTAGAGTCTTTACAGTATCTGTAACCCTGGGGAAGGCAGCAGAGCACTGCCGAAACGTTGGAAAATAAAGAAGAGCATCTAACTTAAACACACATTTCCCAATTAGGACGACATCCCCAAGAATTCATAAACTAAATATATGTGTATATATATAGGTACTAAACTAGTCTTGTTACAATTGCATTAAGGCACAGCTGAACAATTCTTAAACCACTTTGCCTAGACGGGAACCATGTTATAGTTATGAGCGCGTCGCATATGCAGTTTCCATTTTCCCGTCGAGTCGAACACTAGCGAACACTTGAAACAGCGCAGATTGACTTCACCAAGACATTTCCTCTCATGGTGCTCCATCATGTACTTGCGCTTGAACACTTTCTTGCACTTGGAGCAGGGGAATTCAACAAGGCTCATGTGCAACTCCACATAGTGTCTTTGGACGATGTCCTTTCTTCTGAACTGTTTCCCACATTTTGTGCAAGTGTTGTTCACAAAATTGACATTTTCAAAAATTTGCGAATAGGGGGTTGTACCTGGAATAAAGCGAAATGAGTTCCTGTTCCAGAACAGTGATGCAATGCATACTTACTATAGTACTTCTACAGCTACAGGTAGTGGGTGCGAATAAAACAACCTCTCAACATTAACAATATATGTATTTGCTAAGTGAAAGATTCTAGCTCAATTTTTTTGGACATACATGATGTCTTGGTGTTTCCTGCTCTGGTGGATTGGACCTTTTTCCCACAGTTGTATTTAATCTAAAAATACAGACTGTTTTTCCTTCAGTAAAATTTGAGGCAAGTTTGAGCAAACGTGTGACTCTACAAAGCGCGCTACTTAATTTGCGAGCCATTGAATCCCATCGCTTCACTTTTGGATTGAAAGAACATACAATAACTCTGCTAACTAATCCTGCCAGTTTATTTGCTACTTCATACTAACTAAAGCTATTTTCGAAGTTATCCAGTTAAAGCTACCCATTGGGCCTTTGCCACAATCAACAGGCCTGATTAACTGCTTAAACCATTCCTAATAAATTCTGTGCTATTTACATATATGCAATTGCGTCCATGTGATTAAGTACCGGTTCGAACCTACAGCTTCAACTTGTGCACCATCCTGCAATGTTGCATCATCCTGTCCCGGATTTTCGCCTTGTAGTCGCACTGGTATACTGGGCAGGAGATCGAGGGTTGTTTTCCGCACTCGTAGACCAAATGCCGCTTCATGGTGTTGAACGTTTTGTATTTTCGCTGGCAGGTTTGGCACTGCCACAGCTGCTTAGCGATCTGTATGTAGCCGGTGATTGGAGGCGGTTTCCTGCCGCAGTAGTAATTCATGTGGCGCTTCAACGATCCCAACACCTTGAAGGTCTTACTGCACTTGTTGCAAGCGAAAAGACAGTCGAATTCTACAAACAGTGCCAGAGTTAGAAAAAAGTGATGTAGGAATATGGATAGATGGTTGAGTGAGGGTCAAGCGGGCGAGATGGCTTTGAAAGTCGACGTTTATTTTTTCCAAAACTAGATCTACATTCTACTATGGCAACACGATAAC